GTGTCTGAATTCACTGACCTTCCCAGTGTCCAACAGCAACTTAAGTCCTCCGTGGAGGCTGTGGTTATTGGCGTCGCCCCAGAATCACCAACTGTATTTGGTATGTTAACAAGCACAGCCTCTTGCTGGCCCGAAATGCTACCTCACTTGTTTTACCTTACATGTGGCAAAGAAATTGTGATACTTGTTTAGCTCCAGGTGTTCATTGAAAGAGAGTGGTGGTGTGCTTTCCCACTGTTTAAAATTGAAGTAGGCACTGTTAAGTGATTTTCAAAAAAATGTCCACCACTTGATGATCAGTCAATCAGAGTACTTTTTGCAAAGGTTTTTTTTTTTTGTCTTCCTGTATTTCCTCAGTTGACACTGCCAAAAAGGATATCGTATTCCTTCTGGATGGTTCTGATGCCACAAGGAATGGCTTCCCTGCCATGCGTGATTTTGTTGAGAGAGTGGTGGAGAAACTCAATGTGGGAGAAAACAAAGACCGTGTCTCTGTGGTCCAGTACAGCAGAGATGCAGAGGTCCATTTCGATCTGAAAAGATACAAAACACGAGATGATATTCTGGATTCGGTCAGAGGGCTGAGACACAGAGGAGGCAGACCCCTCAACACCGGGGCAGCCCTCCAATATGTCAGGGACAACGTCTTCACAAACTCCTCCGGGAGCAGGCGCCTCCAAGGTGTTCCACAAATGTTGATCCTGCTAAATGGTGGAAGGTCTTTTGATAATGTAGATACCCCAGCCTCTGCTCTAAAACAGCAGGGCATCTATGTTGTTGGCATTGGAACAAGGAACTCTGATAGTAGAGAGCTGCAGAAGATATCATATGAGCCTACTTACGCTCTATCAGTGTCTGAATTCACTGACCTCCCCGATATCCAAGAACAGCTCTCCTCTGTAATGAGCACGGTGCTAGGGAGGGCCACGCCCATGACACCAACAGTGACTGGTAAGAAAGTGACAGATTTTTACATTCCACACTCATGGTAGGACGCAAATTGAACAAGTGTATTTCACTAAGTTGAGGTCAGCCAGTGCCACTTTGACAAAAGAGTTTTGCCAGCATTAACAGAGCAAGTTGTAGACATCGAGGCTAGCTTTTGCCATCTGACTTTCACACTGGCAGCATTTGACACATGAACTTAAATATCTGAAATTTTATGTTCCCTAGTGGAGAGACAGCTACCAGGAAGGGATCTTGTGTTCTTGTTGGATGGATCTGATGGTACTAGAACTGGATTCCCAGCTATGCGAGACTTTGTCCAAAGAGTAGTAGAGACACTCAGTGTGGATGACAACAAACCGTGTCTCAGTGGTTCAGTACAGCAGAGATCCAGCTGTCCAGTTCTATCTGAACACATACACCACTAAGGGCGAGATCCTTGACACGGTCAGAGGTTTGAGGCACAAAGGCGGAAGACCCCTCAACACTGGAGCAGCTCTCCAGTACTTGAGGGATAATGTCTTCACGGCCTCTGCCGGAAGCAGGCGTGTGGAAGGAGTTCCACAGGTCCTAATATTGCTAAGTGGTGGAAGGTCTTTTGACAGTGTTGATGTACCAGCCTCTGCTCTCAAACAGCTGGGTGTCTTGACCATTGCGATTGGAACCAGGGCCTCTGATAGCAGCGAACTGCTCAAGATATCCCACGATCCCAGTTATGCTCTATCGTGTCTGAATTTACGGACCTCCCCAATATCCAACAACAGCTGTCCTCTGTAATGAGCACAGTGCAAAGGAGGGCCACGCCCTTGACACCAACAGTGACTGGTAAGAAAGTGACAGAATTTTACATTCCACACTCATGGTAGGACGCAAATTGAACAAGTGTATTTTACTAAGTTGGGGTCAGCCAGTGCCACTTTGACAAAAGAGTTTTGCCAGCATTAACAGAGCAAGTTGTAGACATCGAGGCTAGCTTTTGCCATCTGACTTTCACACTGGCAGCATTTGACACATGAACTTAAATATGTCTGAAATTTTATGTTCCCTAGTGGAGAGACAGCTACCAGGAAGGGATCTTGTGTTCTTGTTGGATGGATCTGATGGTACTAGAACTGGATTCCCAGCTATGCGAGACTTTGTCCAAAGAGTAGTAGAGACACTCAGTGTGGATGACAACAAAGACCGTGTCTCAGTGGTTCAGTACAGCAGAGATCCAGCTGTCCAGTTCTATCTGAACACATACACCACTAAGGGCGAGATCCTTGACACGGTCAGAGGTTTGAGGCACAAAGGCGGAAGACCCCTCAACACTGGAGCAGCTCTCCAGTACTTGAGGGATAATGTCTTCACGGCCTCTGCCGGAAGCAGGCGTGTGGAAGGAGTTCCACAGGTCCTAATATTGCTAAGTGGTGGAAGGTCTTTTGACAGTGTTGATGTACCAGCCTCTGCTCTCAAACAGCTGGGTGTCTTGACCATTGCGATTGGAACCAGGGCCTCTGATAGCAGCGAACTGCTCAAGATATCCCACGATCCCAGTTATGCTCTATCGGTGTCTGAATTTACGGACCTCCCCAATATCCAACAACAGCTGTCCTCTGTAATGAGCACAGTGCAAAGGAGGGCCACGCCCTTGACACCAACAGTGACTGGTAAGAAAGTGACAGAATTTTACATTCCACCATCAGGGTAGAATGCAAGTTGAACATGTGTATTTTACTAAGTTGAGGTCAGCCAGTTGCACTCAGTGTAAAATAGTTTTGGCAGCATTAATAGAGCAAGTTGTAAATGTTGAGGCTACATTTTGTCATCTGACTTTCACACTGGAACTAGTTGACACATGAACTTAAATATGTCTGAAATTTTATGTTCCCCAGTGGAGAGACAGCTACCAGGAAGGGATCTTGTGTTCTTGTTGGATGGATCTGATGGTACTAGAACTGGATTCCCAGCTATGCGAGACTTTGTCCAAAGAGTAGTAGAGACACTCAGTGTGGATGACAACAAAGACCGTGTCTCAGTGGTTCAGTACAGCAGAGAGCCAGCTGTCCAGTTCTATCTGAACACATACCCGACAAAGGGCGAGATCCTTGACAGTGTCAGAGGTTTGAGGCACAAAGGTGGAAGACCCCAACACTGGAGCAGCTCTCCAGTACTTGAGGGATAATGTCTTCACGGCCTCTGCCGGAAGCAGGCGTGTGGAAGGAGTTCCACAGGTCCTAATATTGCTAAGTGGTGGCAAGTCTTCTGACAGTGTTGATGTACCAGCCTCTGCTCTCAAACAGCTGGGTGTCTTGACCATTACAATTGGAACCGGGAGCTCTGATAGCATCGAACTGCAGAAGATATCCCACGATCCCAGTTATGCTCTATCTGTGTCTGAATTCACTGACCTTCCCAGTGTCCAACAGCAACTTAAGTCCTCCGTGGAGGCTGTGGTTATTGGCGTCGCCCCAGAATCACCAACTGTATTTGGTATGTTAACAAGCACAGCCTCTTGCTGGCCCGAAATGCTACCTCACTTGTTTTACCTTACATGTGGCAAAGAAATTGTGATACTTGTTTAGCTCCAGGTGTTCATTGAAAGAGAGGTGGTGGTGTGCTTTCCCACTGTTTAAAATTGAAGTAGGCACTGTTAAGTGATTTTCAAAAAAATGTCCACCACTTGATGATCAGTCAATCAGAGTACTTTTTGCAAAGGTTTTTTATTTTTTGTCTTCCTGTATTTCCTCAGTTGACACTGCCAAAAAGGATATCGTATTCCTTCTGGATGGTTCTGATGCCACAAGGAATGGCTTCCCTGCCATGCGTGATTTTGTTGAGAGAGTGGTGGAGAAACTCAATGTGGGAGAAAACAAAGACCGTGTCTCTGTGGTCCAGTACAGCAGAGATGCAGAGGTCCATTTCGATCTGAAAAGATACAAAACACGAGATGATATTCTGGATTCGGTCAGAGGGCTGAGACACAGAGGAGGCAGACCCCTCAACACCGGGGCAGCCCTCCAATATGTCAGGGACAACGTCTTCACAAACTCCTCCGGGAGCAGGCGCCTCCAAGGTGTTCCACAAATGTTGATCCTGCTAAATGGTGGAAGGTCTTTTGATAATGTAGATACCCCAGCCTCTGCTCTAAAACAGCAGGGCATCTATGTTGTTGGCATTGGAACAAGGAACTCTGATAGTAGAGAGCTGCAGAAGATATCATATGAGCCTACTTACGCTCTATCAGTGTCTGAATTCACTGACCTCCCCGATATCCAAGAACAGCTCTCCTCTGTAATGAGCACGGTGCTAGGGAGGGCCACGCCCATGACACCAACAGTGACTGGTAAGAAAGTGACAGATTTTTACATTCCACACTCATGGTAGGACGCAAATTGAACAAGTGTATTTCACTAAGTTGAGGTCAGCCAGTGCCACTTTGACAAAAGAGTTTTGCCAGCATTAACAGAGCAAGTTGTAGACATCGAGGCTAGCTTTTGCCATCTGACTTTCACACTGGCAGCATTTGACACATGAACTTAAATATGTCTGAAATTTTATGTTCCCTAGTGGAGAGACAGCTACCAGGAAGGGATCTTGTGTTCTTGTTGGATGGATCTGATGGTACTAGAACTGGATTCCCAGCTATGCGAGACTTTGTCCAAAGAGTAGTAGAGACACTCAGTGTGGATGACAACAAAGACCGTGTCTCAGTGGTTCAGTACAGCAGAGATCCAGCTGTCCAGTTCTATCTGAACACATACACCACTAAGGGCGAGATCCTTGACACGGTCAGAGGTTTGAGGCACAAAGGCGGAAGACCCCTCAACACTGGAGCAGCTCTCCAGTACTTGAGGGATAATGTCTTCACGGCCTCTGCCGGAAGCAGGCGTGTGGAAGGAGTTCCACAGGTCCTAATATTGCTAAGTGGTGGAAGGTCTTTTGACAGTGTTGATGTACCAGCCTCTGCTCTCAAACAGCTGGGTGTCTTGACCATTGCGATTGGAACCAGGGCCTCTGATAGCAGCGAACTGCTCAAGATATCCCACGATCCCAGTTATGCTCTATCGTGTCTGAATTTACGGACCTCCCCAATATCCAACAACAGCTGTCCTCTGTAATGAGCACAGTGCAAAGGAGGGCCACGCCCTTGACACCAACAGTGACTGGTAAGAAAGTGACAGAATTTTACATTCCACCATCAGGGTAGAATGCAAGTTGAACATGTGTATTTTACTAAGTTGAGGTCAGCCAGTTGCACTCAGTGTAAAATAGTTTTGGCAGCATTAATAGAGCAAGTTGTAAATGTTGAGGCTACATTTTGTCATCTGACTTTCACACTGGAACTAGTTGACACATGAACTTAAATATGTCTGAAATTTTATGTTCCCCAGTGGAGAGACAGCTACCAGGAAGGGATCTTGTGTTCTTGTTGGATGGATCTGATGGTACTAGAACTGGATTCCCAGCTATGCGAGACTTTGTCCAAAGAGTAGTAGAGACACTCAGTGTGGATGACAACAAAGACCGTGTCTCAGTGGTTCAGTACAGCAGAGAGCCAGCTGTCCAGTTCTATCTGAACACATACCCGACAAAGGGCGAGATCCTTGACAGTGTCAGAGGTTTGAGGCACAAAGGTGGAAGACCCCTCAACACTGGAGCAGCTCTCCAGTACTTGAGGGATAATGTCTTCACGGCCTCTGCCGGAAGCAGGCGTGTGGAAGGAGTTCCACAGGTCCTAATATTGCTAAGTGGTGGCAAGTCTTCTGACAGTGTTGATGTACCAGCCTCTGCTCTCAAACAGCTGGGTGTCTTGACCATTACAATTGGAACCGGGAGCTCTGATAGCATCGAACTGCAGAAGATATCCCACGATCCCAGTTATGCTCTATCTGTGTCTGAATTCACTGACCTTCCCAGTGTCCAACAGCAACTTAAGTCCTCCGTGGAGGCTGTGGTTATTGGCGTCGCCCCAGAATCACCAACTGTATTTGGTATGTTAACAAGCACAGCCTCTTGCTGGCCCGAAATGCTACCTGACTTGTTTTACCTTACATGTGGCAAAGAAATTGTGATACTTGTTTAGCTCCAGGTGTTCATTGAAAGAGAGGTGGTGGTGTGCTTTCCCACTGTTTAAAATTGAAGTAGGCACTGTTAAGTGATTTTCAAAAAAATGTCCACCACTTGATGATCAGTCAATCAGAGTACTTTTTGCAAAGGTTTTTTATTTTTTGTCTTCCTGTATTTCCTCAGTTGACACTGCCAAAAAGGATATCGTATTCCTTCTGGATGGTTCTGATGCCACAAGGAATGGCTTCCCTGCCATGCGTGATTTTGTTGAGAGAGTGGTGGAGAAACTCAATGTGGGAGAAAACAAAGACCGTGTCTCTGTGGTCCAGTACAGCAGAGATGCAGAGGTCCATTTCGATCTGAAAAGATACAAAACACGAGATGATATTCTGGATTCGGTCAGAGGGCTGAGACACAGAGGAGGCAGACCCCTCAACACCGGGGCAGCCCTCCAATATGTCAGGGACAACGTCTTCACAAACTCCTCCGGGAGCAGGCGCCTCCAAGGTGTTCCACAAATGTTGATCCTGCTAAATGGTGGAAGGTCTTTTGATAATGTAGATACCCCAGCCTCTGCTCTAAAACAGCAGGGCATCTATGTTGTTGGCATTGGAACAAGGAACTCTGATAGTAGAGAGCTGCAGAAGATATCATATGAGCCTACTTACGCTCTATCAGTGTCTGAATTCACTGACCTCCCCGATATCCAAGAACAGCTCTCCTCTGTAATGAGCACGGTGCTAGGGAGGGCCACGCCCATGACACCAACAGTGACTGGTAAGAAAGTGACAGATTTTTACATTCCACACTCATGGTAGGACGCAAATTGAACAAGTGTATTTCACTAAGTTGAGGTCAGCCAGTGCCACTTTGACAAAAGAGTTTTGCCAGCATTAACAGAGCAAGTTGTAGACATCGAGGCTAGCTTTTGCCATCTGACTTTCACACTGGCAGCATTTGACACATGAACTTAAATATGTCTGAAATTTTATGTTCCCTAGTGGAGAGACAGCTACCAGGAAGGGATCTTGTGTTTTGTTGGATGGATCTGATGGTACTAGAACTGGATTCCCAGCTATGCGAGACTTTGTCCAAAGAGTAGTAGAGACACTCAGTGTGGATGACAACAAAGACCGTGTCTCAGTGGTTCAGTACAGCAGAGATCCAGCTGTCCAGTTCTATCTGAACACATACACCACTAAGGGCGAGATCCTTGACACGGTCAGAGGTTTGAGGCACAAAGGCGGAAGACCCCTCAACACTGGAGCAGCTCTCCAGTACTTGAGGGATAATGTCTTCACGGCCTCTGCCGGAAGCAGGCGTGTGGAAGGAGTTCCACAGGTCCTAATATTGCTAAGTGGTGGAAGGTCTTTTGACAGTGTTGATGTACCAGCCTCTGCTCTCAAACAGCTGGGTGTCTTGACCATTGCGATTGGAACCAGGGCCTCTGATAGCAGCGAACTGCTCAAGATATCCCACGATCCCAGTTATGCTCTATCGTGTCTGAATTTACGGACCTCCCCAATATCCAACAACAGCTGTCCTCTGTAATGAGCACAGTGCAAAGGAGGGCCACGCCCTTGACACCAACAGTGACTGGTAAGAAAGTGACAGAATTTTACATTCCACCATCAGGGTAGAATGCAAGTTGAACATGTGTATTTTACTAAGTTGAGGTCAGCCAGTTGCACTCAGTGTAAAATAGTTTTGGCAGCATTAATAGAGCAAGTTGTAAATGTTGAGGCTACATTTTGTCATCTGACTTTCACACTGGAACTAGTTGACACATGAACTTAAATATGTCTGAAATTTTATGTTCCCCAGTGGAGAGACAGCTACCAGGAAGGGATCTTGTGTTCTTGTTGGATGGATCTGATGGTACTAGAACTGGATTCCCAGCTATGCGAGACTTTGTCCAAAGAGTAGTAGAGACACTCAGTGTGGATGACAACAAAGACCGTGTCTCAGTGGTTCAGTACAGCAGAGAGCCAGCTGTCCAGTTCTATCTGAACACATACCCGACAAAGGGCGAGATCCTTGACAGTGTCAGAGGTTTGAGGCACAAAGGTGGAAGACCCCTCAACACTGGAGCAGCTCTCCAGTACTTGAGGGATAATGTCTTCACGGCCTCTGCCGGAAGCAGGCGTGTGGAAGGAGTTCCACAGGTCCTAATATTGCTAAGTGGTGGCAAGTCTTCTGACAGTGTTGATGTACCAGCCTCTGCTCTCAAACAGCTGGGTGTCTTGACCATTACAATTGGAACCGGGAGCTCTGATAGCATCGAACTGCAGAAGATATCCCACGATCCCAGTTATGCTCTATCTGTGTCTGAATTCACTGACCTTCCCAGTGTCCAACAGCAACTTAAGTCCTCCGTGGAGGCTGTGGTTATTGGCGTCGCCCCAGAATCACCAACTGTATTTGGTATGTTAACAAGCACAGCCTCTTGCTGGCCCGAAATGCTACCTCACTTGTTTTACCTTACATGTGGCAAAGAAATTGTGATACTTGTTTAGCTCCAGGTGTTCATTGAAAGAGAGGTGGTGGTGTGCTTTCCCACTGTTTAAAATTGAAGTAGGCACTGTTATGATTTTCAAAAAAATGTCCACCACTTGATGATCAGTCAATCAGAGTACTTTTTGCAAAGGTTTTTTATTTTTTGTCTTCCTGTATTTCCTCAGTTGACACTGCCAAAAAGGATATCGTATTCCTTCTGGATGGTTCTGATGCCACAAGGAATGGCTTCCCTGCCATGCGTGATTTTGTTGAGAGAGTGGTGGAGAAACTCAATGTGGGAGAAAACAAAGACCGTGTCTCTGTGGTCCAGTACAGCAGAGATGCAGAGGTCCATTTCGATCTGAAAAGATACAAAACACGAGATGATATTCTGGATTCGGTCAGAGGGCTGAGACACAGAGGAGGCAGACCCCTCAACACCGGGGCAGCCCTCCAATATGTCAGGGACAACGTCTTCACAAACTCCTCCGGGAGCAGGCGCCTCCAAGGTGTTCCACAAATGTTGATCCTGCTAAATGGTGGAAGGTCTTTTGATAATGTAGATACCCCAGCCTCTGCTCTAAAACAGCAGGGCATCTATGTTGTTGGCATTGGAACAAGGAACTCTGATAGTAGAGAGCTGCAGAAGATATCATATGAGCCTACTTACGCTCTATCAGTGTCTGAATTCACTGACCTCCCCGATATCCAAGAACAGCTCTCCTCTGTAATGAGCACGGTGCTAGGGAGGGCCACGCCCATGACACCAACAGTGACTGGTAAGAAAGTGACAGATTTTTACATTCCACACTCATGGTAGGACGCAAATTGAACAAGTGTATTTACTAAGTTGAGGTCAGCCAGTGCCACTTTGACAAAAGAGTTTTGCCAGCATTAACAGAGCAAGTTGTAGACATCGAGGCTAGCTTTTGCCATCTGACTTTCACACTGGCAGCATTTGACACATGAACTTAAATATGTCTGAAATTTTATGTTCCCTAGTGGAGAGACAGCTACCAGGAAGGGATCTTGTGTTCTTGTTGGATGGATCTGATGGTACTAGAACTGGATTCCCAGCTATGCGAGACTTTGTCCAAAGAGTAGTAGAGACACTCAGTGTGGATGACAACAAAGACCGTGTCTCAGTGGTTCAGTACAGCAGAGAGCCAGCTGTCCAGTTCTATCTGAACACATACCCGACAAAGGGCGAGATCCTTGACAGTGTCAGAGGTTTGAGGCACAAAGGTGGAAGACCCCTCAACACTGGAGCAGCTCTCCAGTACTTGAGGGATAATGTCTTCACGGCCTCTGCCGGAAGCAGGCGTGTGGAAGGAGTTCCACAGGTCCTAATATTGCTAAGTGGTGGCAAGTCTTCTGACAGTGTTGATGTACCAGCCTCTGCTCTCAAACAGCTGGGTGTCTTGACCATTGCGATTGGAACCAGGGCCTCTGATAGCAGCGAACTGCTCAAGATATCCCACGATCCCAGTTATGCTCTATCGTGTCTGAATTTACGGACCTCCCCAATATCCAACAACAGCTGTCCTCTGTAATGAGCACAGTGCAAAGGAGGGCCACGCCCTTGACACCAACAGTGACTGGTAAGAAAGTGACAGAATTTTACATTCCACCATCAGGGTAGAATGCAAGTTGAACATGTGTATTTTACTAAGTTGAGGTCAGCCAGTTGCACTCAGTGTAAAATAGTTTTGGCAGCATTAATAGAGCAAGTTGTAAATGTTGAGGCTACATTTTGTCATCTGACTTTCACACTGGAACTAGTTGACACATGAACTTAAATATGTCTGAAATTTTATGTTCCCCAGTGGAGAGACAGCTACCAGGAAGGGATCTTGTGTTCTTGTTGGATGGATCTGATGGTACTAGAACTGGATTCCCAGCTATGCGAGACTTTGTCCAAAGAGTAGTAGAGACACTCAGTGTGGATGACAACAAAGACCGTGTCTCAGTGGTTCAGTACAGCAGAGAGCCAGCTGTCCAGTTCTATCTGAACACATACCCGACAAAGGGCGAGATCCTTGACAGTGTCAGAGGTTTGAGGCACAAAGGTGGAAGACCCCTCAACACTGGAGCAGCTCTCCAGTACTTGAGGGATAATGTCTTCACGGCCTCTGCCGGAAGCAGGCGTGTGGAAGGAGTTCCACAGGTCCTAATATTGCTAAGTGGTGGCAAGTCTTCTGACAGTGTTGATGTACCAGCCTCTGCTCTCAAACAGCTGGGTGTCTTGACCATTACAATTGGAACCGGGAGCTCTGATAGCATCGAACTGCAGAAGATATCCCACGATCCCAGTTATGCTCTATCTGTGTCTGAATTCACTGACCTTCCCAGTGTCCAACAGCAACTTAAGTCCTCCGTGGAGGCTGTGGTTATTGGCGTCGCCCCAGAATCACCAACTGTATTTGGTATGTTAACAAGCACAGCCTCTTGCTGGCCCGAAATGCTACCTCACTTGTTTTACCTTACATGTGGCAAAGAAATTGTGATACTTGTTTAGCTCCAGGTGTTCATTGAAAGAGAGGTGGTGGTGTGCTTTCCCACTGTTTAAAATTGAAGTAGGCACTGTTAAGTGATTTTCAAAAAAATGTCCACCACTTGATGATCAGTCAATCAGAGTACTTTTTGCAAAGGTTTTTTATTTTTTGTCTTCCTGTATTTCCTCAGTTGACACTGCCAAAAAGGATATCGTATTCCTTCTGGATGGTTCTGATGCCACAAGGAATGGCTTCCCTGCCATGCGTGATTTTGTTGAGAGAGTGGTGGAGAAACTCAATGTGGGAGAAAACAAAGACCGTGTCTCTGTGGTCCAGTACAGCAGAGATGCAGAGGTCCATTTCGATCTGAAAAGATACAAAACACGAGATGATATTCTGGATTCGGTCAGAGGGCTGAGACACAGAGGAGGCAGACCCCTCAACACCGGGGCAGCCCTCCAATATGTCAGGGACAACGTCTTCACAAACTCCTCCGGGAGCAGGCGCCTCCAAGGTGTTCCACAAATGTTGATCCTGCTAAATGGTGGAAGGTCTTTTGATAATGTAGATACCCCAGCCTCTGCTCTAAAACAGCAGGGCATCTATGTTGTTGGCATTGGAACAAGGAACTCTGATAGTAGAGAGCTGCAGAAGATATCATATGAGCCTACTTACGCTCTATCAGTGTCTGAATTCACTGACCTCCCCGATATCCAAGAACAGCTCTCCTCTGTAATGAGCACGGTGCTAGGGAGGGCCACGCCCATGACACCAACAGTGACTGGTAAGAAAGTGACAGATTTTTACATTCCACACTCATGGTAGGACGCAAATTGAACAAGTGTATTTCACTAAGTTGAGGTCAGCCAGTGCCACTTTGACAAAAGAGTTTTGCCAGCATTAACAGAGCAAGTTGTAGACATCGAGGCTAGCTTTTGCCATCTGACTTTCACACTGGCAGCATTTGACACATGAACTTAAATATGTCTGAAATTTTATGTTCCCTAGTGGAGAGACAGCTACCAGGAAGGGATCTTGTGTTCTTGTTGGATGGATCTGATGGTACTAGAACTGGATTCCCAGCTATGCGAGACTTTGTCCAAAGAGTAGTAGAGACACTCAGTGTGGATGACAACAAAGACCGTGTCTCAGTGGTTCAGTACAGCAGAGATCCAACTGTCCAGTTCTATCTGAACACATACACCACTAAGGGCGAGATCCTTGACACGGTCAGAGGTTTGAGGCACAAAGGCGGAAGACCCCTCAACACTGGAGCAGCTCTCCAGTACTTGAGGGATAATGTCTTCACGGCCTCTGCCGGAAGCAGGCGTGTGGAAGGAGTTCCACAGGTCCTAATATTGCTAAGTGGTGGAAGGTCTTTTGACAGTGTTGATGTACCAGCCTCTGCTCTCAAACAGCTGGGTGTCTTGACCATTACAATTGGAACTGGGAGCTCTGATAACATCGAACTGCAGAGAGATCCCACGATCCCAGTTATGCTCTATCTGTGTCTGAATTCACTGACCTTCACAGTGTCCAACAGCAACTTCAGTCTTCCGTGGAGGCTGTTTTTATTGATGTCACCCCACATGCACCAACTTTACTGGTATGTTAATAATTTTGGTCTCTCACTGCCACCTAATGCTACTTCACTTGTTTAAACCTATGTTGGAAACGTAAATGCTTTTCAAAAATTTTTCCCTCAGTTGATGATCATGATAATGATTCTCGATGACAGGTACTTTTTGCAAAAGTTTTTTGTCTTCCTGTTTTTTACAGTTGACTCTGCCAAAAAGGATATTGTATTCCTTCTGGATGGTTCTGATGGCACAAGGAATGGCTTCCCTGCCATGCGTGATTTTGTTGAGAGAGTGGTGGAGAAACTAAATGTGGGAGAACAATGATCGTGTCTCTGTGGTCCAGTACAGCAGAAATGCATTTGTCCATTTCGAGCTGAAAACATACAAAACACGAAATGATATTTTGAATGCGGTCAGAGGGCTGAGACACAGAGGAGGCAGACCCCTCAACACTGGCGCAGCCCTTCAATATGTCAGGGACAACGTCTTCACAAACTCCTCCGGGAGCAGGCTCCTCCAAGGAGTTCCTCAAATGTTGATCCTTCTCAATAGCGGAAGGTCTTCTGACAGTGTTCAAGCACCAGCCTCTGCTCTTAAACAGCAGGGCATCTTTACGATTGGCATTGGAATAAGGAACTATTAGTAGAGAGCTGCAGAAGATCTTATGACCCCAGTTATGCTCTATCAGTGTCTGAGTTCAATGACCTGCCGCATCCAAGATCAGCTCTCTTCTTAATGCGCACCGTGCTCTTCAAGCCACACCCTGACACCAACAGTCCCTGGTAAGTTCAGATCAGCTGGTGCCACTTGACGAAACATTCAATTAGTCACTTTCTTTGCAATATGACGATCTTGTCAACATGGACAAACTAACTACTTGAAAGACTTGTAGAATTAATGCAACAATATTTAACAAAATTTTTACTTGCACACTTTCCAAATAATAGATGTAGTTTAAACGGCATCAACAATAAAATTGAATCTTATTATAGCAGGATCTGTCTGCAATGGTATAAATCAACTTGCGTCATTTTATGTTGTCTGTTGTCCACCGAAATTCAGTTAATTTGTTTCATATATTGACTGCATTATAGTCTAATACTTAAATATTTCCATCCACTTTTTATTTAATTACACACACACAACAGCAGGTTGCTACAAACCACCACACCCACTATGTTCAGAAGACCAGTCAGTTAGTCCTTTGTATTGCGACCGTTCATGTGAGAGATGTGGAATGCCCTGGGCAAATTTCTGCAATTCTGTCTGTGATGGTATCCCTTCTAACTATATCTTTAAAAGCAACTATGTTGTATTCTTAGTATTGTTAGCATCAGTATGATAACAATGTTCAGATGTATTACTGGTGGCTGTTTTGTACATTTTGCTGCTGCATCTTTAAACCCTCACTTTTGTAGATAGTCTATTAATCTATAATCTATTATCTATCTATATAACAAATGTGTAGTTCTTCATCTATACAAATGGAATATTACCACTGTAGTTTCAACATGGCAGCACAGGGAATGATGAATGGTGAATACTCTATTTTCATGTAATTAGCAAAAACAAAAATGGCTTAAATCAATTTTCAGACGAGTTTGGTGGGCGACACTTGATGTTGAGAAGTCAACTCTGACATCCAAGGTATGAGAGTTTGCTGCAAAAGAGCTTGCATACACAGGCATGCATTTTTGGAAACTAAACTCACAAGCAATAACCACATTGTCTCATGACTGGCGAATAAATCAGCCTTCAATATATTGTGCATCTCTGTTCAACAACAAATACAAAACAGTACACAGAGAAACAGGGCATTCATGTAAATTACATAGTAGTTTTGATGGGTTATCTCCCTCTCCATATTTGGCTGAATGTTCCAAACTCTGGGACCATCCATAGATCTGGAGCCAGCCCTAAATACACATAGCAGTTATTGCAGAGTAGATATCCTGGCATTTTTGGGCCCAAGGGGCCCACCACAACAGATCTGGCACCCTCAACAATAAATCATCTTTGCAGCCCCTTTAAAGAAAGAGGCCATGGAGAAGAAAACTCATACTCAGGTAGAAGTACAAGTTATTGTCAAAGAATTTTTTTTAAAAAGTTTAGACATTTATATTTGGATGTTTGATCTAAGAACTAACTCAAGCAAGCGACCTTTATGAGGATTTGTACATCCAAAGAACTTCTATAAAAAACAGACCAGGCTTCTTTGAGATTTGAATTGAGTTGACAAAAGTTGACATGATGCTGACAAAATAATGTCACCTTGTCACTTAGTGAATAAGTCCATATATCAACGAAAACCTCCTCTTCTGGATCTCAGCAAGCAAGCAAAAAAAAACAACTCAGTTTCAATGCAAAAGTTTAGACAAGCTTAGTATTTCACCAGAGTGGTCTCCCGTAGTCTGGACAGTGCTGCTGGCAAGCAGTGCATAGGCTTTCACTCTTAGGACAGAATGGGTCAGTTTTACT